AAGAACAGCTTCAGGGTGTGGGTGTGGGTGTGGATGTACTCTGAGTCCATTCACACCCACACCCACCCTCATACGTGTTGATACGATATTTTTTCTCGAATAGCCTAGAGCCTGCGAAAATTCTTGAAGAAAAAAGTGTTAAATTCGATTAGATAAAATACGAAGTGAAATTCTTTTTTTTTGTGGTTAATCAAGGTTCGAGCAGAAGATAAAATGAATTGATAATCTATGTCTTTGATAATTCTTAATTAGTGTCGTACTGTCAATGTTTTTCTCTATGAATTTTTTTTATGTATGTGTATTGATAAGATCTCATTAAAAAACGAAAAGGAAATCGTCTAGGTATCGTTTACGCACTAGCTCAGATTTTCCTTATAAGCTATAGAATCTATAGCAGTAATTTTTTTTTGACGACTGAAACTTATGTATGATATTTTCATAAGTAATGGGTTAATCGTTTGCGCGTTACAAACATTTGTATATCTGAACTGGATGTTCAAAGAAAATGATATTGTAAGATCTAAATAGGTGAAAGAAAAAGATTAATTGTTAACAGATGTCTCGTGAATTCTGCAATCATAATTTTGTTCTTTCTGTGCTGTGGAAAAAAAGACCGATGTATCCCGATTAAAATTATTAAGATGAATTTTTTTTTTGTTTGTTTGTTTCCTTTTGATGTTCAACAAGTGTTCTATGTGTGCCTGAAATGTAATTCTTATAATGTACGTGTTCACAATGTCAATCTAAAATATGTCCGAAGCTTCTACTGCTGTTCATTACCAATGTGTTCTTGACGTGATGCCGTAAATTTTTGACTATGTGTACTAAATTGATGCCGTATAGGAGAGGGATACTTATATTTGAATTGATTATTATCTATTCCGTTGTTTAATCTTTTGCTGTTGATCGTGCTCATGAGTTTAATGTCAAATAATGCAATTTTTTGATTTTTTTTCCTCTTTTGATGTTATTTCTATCCTTCTTTCGTTTTTTCTTTGTATTTATCTATTATGTAAAGACGCTCAGGAGCGCGTCTAATCTGAGTGGAAGGGTGTGACGATATCTATATCACCTTTCGCTGACCTCCCACTAACCTTTAGCTAACCTTCCTCTGACCTTTCGTTCTTCTATTCTCCTTATCCTATTTCGATTGTTATTTCATGCGGTCATCTCTCTCTCATATATAAACGTGTGTTGTATTGTGAAGTAGTCATATTCTGGAGTGATGGAGTAGTCAATAAACATCATGACCGGGGATAGCGGTAAAGCTACTCCTCCAGTTTGTCGTTACAGTAGGGTGTGGGTGTCTATATTCTTTTTGCACCTACCCACACGCACATCCACTCCCACACCTAGAATAGATTTGGACAGTGTTAGCGTTTGTCCTTGTGGATCAACGCTAAGTTCGTTCTCTTTCTTTTAAAATATATGTATGTGTATGCGTATGTGTGCACTTGCACACGATGTTTTATTATCTGTTAAAATGATGGAAAAACACGTACATATATGTGAATGAGAAGAAAGAGAACAAAGACAAGATATATGGATAACACAGAAGAATACTAGATATATCGGTGAGAAACAAATAGAAAAGAAATAAAAATATGAAATGAAAAATAAGAATAGATGACGAGCTGTATCAGTGCGACATCACTGTAACAGACAGAATCAATAAAATATTCTTCAAATATTACAAATAGATTTATTTTTAAATAAAAAATTTTCTTGAAGAATATTAATACTAACAAAATAGCGTAGATGAATAGTTTAGCACACTTTTTATGTAAAATATTCAATACTGGAAAGAAAAATACTCAAGAGACTTTTTGACTCTGTGCTAATCGTCATTTAACGACCCATAAAATTATTAATCTTATTGATAGTACGCTTCCAAATCCAAAAATATAGCACTATTACGACAATCAACACAATCCAACCAATGACTCCCATGGTTGTAATAATAATATTGAAAATCAACGCCAATTTACCCATTGAATGAGCTCCAACATAATCATTGATTTTCTTCTTTTTTCGACAAATAATCGACAAGATTAGTGGAATGATACCGAAAAAACCCCAACCAATTATCACATTTAATAATGACCACCCTAACCAATCATGAATTCGTTGAACGTTCTGCTCTTGTTCTTTTTCACAGAGATATGGTTGAGAATAAATTTTTTTGTGCTGAAAGTCATCTGCTTGAGGACATATATCACGACTGTTTATTGCCATCGGAATAGCTGCATCATATCGAGGCTGATAATAGTGTTTGTTTATTCTCCAATCTATCATTGTAAGAAAATGTTCGTTGTTTCTTATATTCTGTATCCTTTTATATTGATGAAATACGATAGTTAGAAAAAGATTGAATGTGTCAATGTATGAATATGTAAAAATCACCGTTTGCCTCTGTGGCCTTTCCTGTTCTAGTTATGGTATGACACAACCTACTCTTACTCTTCATTGGCATGGATTGTTCATGCGTGACTTTTAACCTTCTCTTGTCATTTCTTATTACGTCATGTTTCGTCCTTACCTTCATAATTTCTTATTAAGCATTGTATCATTGGCATTTTGTCCTTAATGTATTATTCTCAATGTATCATTATTTCGTCCTTCATTCGTTCTCTTTGATGCTCTCTCATACTATCTCCTCGTTATAATAATAATAATAACATGGATTTTAATTTAAATTTTAAATAGAATCAATAGCACCAAATAGATCGAGCAACACATAAGTTGTACGTAGATCAATACTTGATATATCATTTTGATATTTCTAAATGAAAATCATTTTTTATTTCAATTTTTTAATAATGAAAAATGACAAAAAAAATATCAAAAAACAAATAGATATTCTTTTTTGTCTTATTGTTGAATTTTCGGTAACAGTAGTACCATCATCAGAACAAATCATATTATAATAAAATGTGATGTTGAATAAAATGATCCGGGTACAATATGTACGAATAACAATACATAAGTAGCAAATGTACGAAAAACAATATAATTTTAACATGTGCGAAAAGTTATATGAGTACAATATGTACGAATGACAATAAAAATAGTAATGCTAATTTTATATACGAACTAACATGAATATCAATTGAAGGACGATCAGAACTACTGATAATAATACATTCTTGACCTGTATCGATGTCGCATTAAATATTAAAAAACTAATAATATTATGAAGATAATTGATAATAACCATCGCTAAAACATAAGGAAATAATAAATAATACTGATAATGAATCATGTAATTGTTTCACGTTCATATACGAATAGAATTGAAAATTTCTGTAAATAGAGAAAAGATAGTAAACCATATTAACAGTTGCTATGTTTAATACATACATACATTGATTATATAAGAGAATGTGGATTTTGTGTTTGTAGAATAATTATAATTGAACTAGCAGAAGGAATATCGAATATGGCAATTGATGAATTGATTGATTGTGTTGTATTTTTCGTGGTCGTTGTTGATAAAGGTGATGAGGATCTGAAATAAAAAGAGAAAGATTGGTTTTTTGGAAAGATGAATTGAGGTATGTGTGTTTTGATGAATATATAGGGATTATCTGTTTTAGAACGACGGTATGTCTATGTGTATTCTATATGTTTACGAGGTGATTGCTGAATTTTCTTTCGTTCTTTCGGTCGTTTAGCTGGATTAGTTTGTGGCTGATGGTGTTGACCTGGAATCGAACTACGTGTGCGTTATCTATACTACCATTGGTAGTATTTTATGCTTGAATAAGTTTTATGGGGGTCTCTTATGAAATCTGATTAGTCGAAAGATGTTTATTTTTTTTTATGGGCGGGGTTTGTGTATACAATCATTCTTTCTCTTGTGTTTTAGATTAAAACTCTAGAAAAGTTTTATTGTCGACACTTCTCGAATTACTGAAATTTTCGGTTTACTTCAATGATGAATGCATCTAATACTCGAAATAGATATCCTACAGTAGATATCGATGATTACATCCGTCAACATCATGGAAGTCATTTTTTATACATTTATCGTAATGTCAAGAAATTTTACCATCGTTTTGATGCTGTTCAACTCGACATCGAATTTTTAAAAATATGTCGTTCCAAAGATATTATCCCGTCCTTCTTATGGTTTAAAACAGCTAACAATGATCTATCATCTTCACCAGTTTATAAAGCTTGTCAACGTAAACTTCTCAACGTCGAAATCGATGCAAAACGTAAAAAATTAAATGATTTAAAGATAATGTATAAATTCTCACTTAATCATCTTCGTGAATTATCATCTGCTGATTTCTTCGAACATTTATTTCAAATTATGATGTCGGAATGCTCATATTTAATAAATAAAAAACGAAGAACATTAAATAAAAAATTATTATCATTATGTTCTATTAATAATTCAACTCGTTATTATAATGCAAAAGTCGTAACTAATCTATCATCACGTGTACTATCTGATGAAGAACTTATTTGTCTCGCCAATGGATTAGATTACTGTTTACCACCAAAATCTATCAATTCTATGAATGTTGCAAGTAATGTAGAAACATTTTTTCAGCGTATTACTGATGTTTATCAGCATCAAAAGAAATTTATGAATGAACACAAGGAATATGAAGCCATTAGTGAAAGCGATATACGTGTTTTAAACACGAAAGAGCTGACTTTGGCTAACGATTTAAGTTCTTTAACTAAATCGTTTCTACAAAGAGCTAACCAATGTCAAATACAAAAAAATAAATTTGATTTTGAACAACAAAATTATCGTAAATTACTACAGAAATTAAAAGAAGATACGTCAATAATTATTACTCGTCCAGATAACGGAAGAGGTGTTGTTTTAATGGACAAACAAGATTACGTGAACAAAATTCATGCTATTCTTAATGACCCATCTAAATTTTCTTCTCTATCTGAAGATCCTCCACTAGCGCGAGAGAATAGCTTGAAATCATTATTACGAAAATTACACGACCAAGGACAAATTACAGATCAATTTTATTATCTCGCACGACCTACTGGATCCAATCCTGGACGACTTTATGGACTTCCAAAAGTTCATAAAGATGGTGTACCACTTCGACCAGTTCTTTCATCAATAGGAACATTTAATTATGGACTTGGGAAGGCTCTTACTCAAATGCTATCAGATCTGATAGACAACAAGAACATGATTAAAGATTCATCTTCTTTTGTTAAAGATCTGCATGCATTAGATGATCCTCTCTCAACGTTCAAAATGGCATCATTTGACATTGTCAATTTATATACCAATGTACCTGTTGATGAAACAATTAATATTATTCTCAAAGAATTATATGAAAATCGACCTGTACGACCTCTTATTGAACGGAACGACTTAAAGAAGCTCCTGACCTTTGATACAACAAAATCTCATTTTCTCTTTGACGGAAAAATTTTCGATCAAATAGATGGAGTATCAATGGGTTCTCCATTAGCTCCTCTACTTGCCGAAATTTTTCTCCAAGAATTTGAGAAAAAATATTTATCATTATTCGAAAATTTGGGCATCGTTTACTGGAAACGATATGTTGATGATACCTTTGTATTATTGGACCCAAAATTTTCCGCAAAAATAGTTTGTGCTGAACTCTCAAAATTACATCCTTCTGTTAGGTTCACTTCTCAGGAGGAAGATGCAGTTACACACAAATTACCATTTCTGAACGTACTGATTCAACGACAAGAAGGTATCGGTTTTCAAACTCGTATCTACAGAAAACCGACCTTCACTGGTCTTATAACAAAATGGAATAGCTTCGTTCCAAAAATTTATAAATATAATACTATCTCTGTTATGGTACATCGTGCTATTCAAATATGTTCATCATATAAAGCACTCCATGCAGAGTTTCAATTTATTCGAAAAATATCAAAGAGGAATGGTTATCCTTCTAATTTTGTCGATTCAATTATTAAACGACAATTAAATTTAAAATATGAACCTCCTGCTCCTGTACCACCAACTCTTAGTACTGATACAGTAGTATTTAAAATACCGTATTTAGGAAAAGAGTCTCAAGTCTATGGGAAGCTTGTAACATCTGCAGTGGCTAAACAATATCCTTTTAAAAAAATACGGGTTATCTATGATGTTCCAGACCGTATTGGACGTAACTTCAAAAACAAGGATGCTGTGCCGGATGAATTAAAAGCTGGTGTAGTTTATGAGGCAACTTGTTCTCAATGTAATAACTCATATACAGGACAGGGTGTGGGTGTGGATTTAGCGCAGATAATATAACTAATACCCACAAAGACACCCACACGCACACCCACACCCACGCCCACCCCCACCCACCCTAGCTACTGTTTATTATTTGATAAAACAAACATCATCATATTTTTTTAACAGAAAATACTGGTATCACTAACTGATAAATCCTTTCATTCTAGATTAAAACGATTTCCAACCTGCAACTACTATATAATGACGCATAGCGGGTTGTACTTCTCGTCTTAAGCTTTACTTCTTCGATCTGTTACTGTAAAATCATTCTAAACGGTAGAGACGTTGCATTTATATGTAATTAAGCAAACATATTATTTTCAATTATTCTGCCAACACGAGTATTCTGAAACAATGAAACTATAACACAACTCGCTCTGCGTAAAACTTAGATATTTAAAAAAAGTCAACGAAATTTGGCAAAAATTTTTTTCCATTGAACATTTGCTTCAATATCGCCGCTAACAATAGTGAACTCGGTGATCCTCAATCAGAATCGTTAGACCAACAAAATAACCGAGCGTCGAATATTCAACATCAACTAACCCTTAAGCAACGTTCGAAACGATTGCCGTAAGTAGCTTGGAATAATCTTGAAAACTCAACCCTTTTCGGATTTCTGCGATAATTATGATTTTATCTTAAATTGATATCGATGTTTAAGAGTCTTCATTGACTCTGATAACTTTCGATTTTAGTTTGGATAAACTTATATGCAGTAACAACTATTCCAAATTTACCTGATGATGAAAGGATTAAGCCCCATTCGAAACGATCGTCGTAAGCAGCTTGGAATAATCTTGAAAACTCCCCCTCACCACCCTCACCATCACACCCTTACCCCACCCTCACCCTCACACCTTCACCCTCACCCTCACACCTTCACCCCACCCTCAATTTCCTCTTGCTTTGTGATAAATGCCTTATGTAGATTAATTTTATTCCGAACTTGCCTGATGAGCCCCTTAAGCAAGGAGGAAACGTCGCAACGTAGCTTGGAATAATCTATGAAACTCATCCTCACCCTCACACCCTCAAGATATCCATTCCATGATAAGTTGTTCGAAGGAGAAGAGAGAGAGAACGAGAGTTTTTCATCTTCAAATATATATTTGCAAACGACAAAGAAAAGACATGAGACAATGCAAAGAGATTTTCGAAGGATCTGTTGTCATGGATATTCATTTGGCATTTTTCAATTGGTTTGAAAGCCAATCGAGACCTTCATAGCAACCATCACCACTGGTGGCACATGTGGCTTGAATATGCCAATTACGATTGCTCAATGAATGAAGACCTAATTTATCGGTGATTTCAGCCGCATTCATCGCATTAGGTAAATCCTATTCGAAAGAAATGATGAGATTTATTCAAATATCCTTCAAAGAGAAAGATAGACGTACTTGTTTGTTGGCGAATATGAGGAGAACGGCATCACGAAGTTCATCTTCAGCTAACATACGTTGAAGTTCGTCACGTGCTTCACCAACACGTTCACGATCGTTACTGTCAATCACGAAAATTAAGCCTAAAGGGAATATAGACATGAGAATATTCAGAAGAGTTTTGAAGGTCAATATTACCTCGCGTGTTTTGGAAAAAATGTCTCCATAATGCAGGACTTTTGTTCTAAAATGATTGATAAAAAGTATGTTGAGGACATTGAATGTCCTTGAACTTACTTGACCACCGACATCCCAAACGTTAAAACTAATATTTTTGTATTCAACAGTTTCAACATTGAAACCTAAATCAATTCTATTATCGAACATGTGAAAGACTCATTGAACTTGTTTACCGATGGTTGGAATGGTTGTCACAATTTCACCCAATTTCAATTTGCACAAAATGGTTGTTTTACCTAAATCAATCGATAATTATCTTCAATGTATTTTCAACTAATGCTCATCTATTACCTGCAGCGTCAAGGCCAACCATCAAAATACGCAAATCTTTTTTGTCAAAAAGTCGTGCGAAAAGCTTGCCATATGATACACCCATGTTGGTGTTTGTCAACGATTAATCTTCGAACGAATGAAATATGCCTGGAAATTGAGTTGAACAGTTGTTGACAATCTGTGAAATCTAGAAAATCAACGAAAAACATCGTATTTTATAAGAGTCTCCAAGGTGAATAATGTGAATAAGTGACACACCTGGCCACGTAGACAATTTACTTGAGCAATAACCTGTATAAAGACGAGAAGAAAAATGCGACGAGAGAGAAAGAATACGAATAAGAACAAACATTTGTATGACGAAAGAAAGAATATTTCAAGTACCCATTAATAAAGTCCTATCGTGTCAACATATCCCCGTAGAGTGGTTTAGAAAAAATAATTATCGGTCGATAAGAATTACATATTCAAACTCAGCGTGATCGATAACCCCCCCTTCCAATTCGAAACTCGACGACGTATCTCTGCTTTTTTTCAGAAAAAAATCAAAAAAAAAGATCCAGCAAGAGGATGAAGAAAATACAATTCGCATCAAAGTGGATTCGATTTGAACAAGAGTAGTGACAGGAGACATTCTCAAACTGTATTATCAATGATTGTACTTTGAAATTCATCCACTTATTGTCCTATATTTATACATCAAAACAAAATTAACTTTACAAATGAAAAAAAAAGATTAAGCTTGATTTAAAAGTTGGAATCAAATCGATCGTTCAGGTAAATTTGTACGTTAATGATCATTGGAAATATTCAACGATTTTCCTCCTACCAAAGATGCTCGTAGGTCGAACGAATTCATTCATATATTTTTTATCCGATATGAACAAATCAACGAGCTAGAAGTCATCCAAAGTAGGAGGCAGTCTCTCTCATGCACGTGGTCCATAGCAGTCAAGAGAGAGAAGAGATCAAGACAAATGACATGCATAGCAACGGATGAATTGCACATGGGACATTTAACTATCTTCATGCAACACAAAAATTGATTGACATCATTATTGCAGCGGAAGAAAACTAATGAAACAAGAAAGTACAAACAAAAGGAGCATGCATCAATCATCGATGAACAGTTCAAATATATTCACTAGTCTTCTCCCCTTCCCATGGCTAAAGTTGATGAAATAAAAGAAGAAGTTTATCACTCTTATTATCTTAAAATTTCTTCTCTGTATCTCGTAATAGTGAAAAGAGAAAGGTACAGATGAAGATGTTTACTTTTTGCGGAAATTTTTGAAACGATTGGTAGTGCGAAGAGCAGGAGCGAGATGCAATCTTTTTTCCGGCGCCCTTACCAATGGTTCATCGGAGTCTGCCGAATCATCTGCTCCGTCCTCAGTGCTTTCTGCTCGAGAACTGATTTCGTCATCATCACCCCCATTGCTACTGGAAAGAGACACATTAGCATCAGAATGCATTGACAATCGGTCGAAGTCATCATCAATAAAATCATATATGCCTGTTCTTGCGAATGTTGCCATTGATTCTCGCTCATCTTCATTCTCGAAGTTCATTTCAAGCATACGGTAGAGCTTTTGTAGCATTGTAAGAAATGGATTCTTTGCTAGATTGGTAGACGAAAAGTAAAGGCGAGATAGAACATCATTGCTTTTCTCTACTCCTTGCATATTGAAATCACCAAGATCATTAAACTCATCGAATTCGAACAAATGATTTCCAATCGTGTGAATATACGGTGTCACAGTAGTGCGTAAACCACTTCGACAAAATTCTTTCACAAATTCTAGTGATAGTCGTTTCAAAGCTCCTTTCCTATCACTACGAGTATGTTTCAGTTCACGAAGGATTTCTTTGAATTTGTTAACAACACTACGAGCAGATTTCGCGATATCTCCAGTCAAAATCTCGTCATAAGGAAACGTGTCAATGAAAAACAGATCTTGTAGATGACCAGATAGTTTTCCATGAGATGCGATTGTCTTATTCTTATCATCTAAATCGACTTGGAAAAAAAAGTTTGTCCACGGTGTTTGAACAGTGTTTATTCAGAATATTGATCTTTTTTTCAATGATTGACAGATGTTCCCTCGACTGAAAGGGAAGGTGATGGGTGTGGGTAAGAATAGAGTAAGTTAATAGCACACCCACACCCACACCCTAGGAGGTGCTGTTTCAACTAAAATCAATAATTTTTCTAAGAGATTAAAAATATTCATGAAGTAAGATATACAGATAAATCAAGCAGAAGAACCACAGTTGACCAACGGTTTTCGAGCAGTTTTTACGGTATGGGTAGCGAATCAACACAATCGGTGACTCACAGATATTGACGTATCGATCGGCTTATGTAAAGTCGACCATGATTGTCAATGTCATATCTGTACTAATCGTCCCTAATATTCGTAGTGTCTCAGCACTAAGTATATAGCATTTAAAATGGTTTCTTTTCCTTTTTGAATCGTCGTTATAATTAACTCACCACAGTCGAATATTTGCAACCAACACGTTTACTGCTGATTGGAATTTTTTTGTGTCGTACACTGTTTGCTTGTTTTTTTCAAATGACTCGATTCTTACTGGTGCAGCATGGCAACGTTTTTTGCTCAGTTTCTGTGTGCTTTGCTTCCTTCGGTTTCGTTTTTTCTAATTCTCTTCAAATATACATTCTATTGAAGAGGACTACGCATAGCAACAGTAGAACATTCACAGAACGAATGAGTGAAGAGTGATAACAAAGAAGCCAAAAAATAAACATATATTTGCAACAAAATTCACTTCAATATGATTTGAGATGGTTCAGACTGTTTAAAATTAGACAACAACTAGCAATAAGACATTCCATTACGTTTTTGTTCAATGATTCGATTAATGATAATTATTCGAGCACGACTGTTCTACTAAAGAAGTTCCATTGTACTTCATGTTGAAATAAATAAAACATACATTACCATGAACTTGAGACGATTTTTCTGTAAGATGATGATACAAATATTCATAATTTTCATTAGAAATTATTTTTCACTTTAAATAGATATTTTAAAAGATTCAACACTCTATTTTATTTCTCAGCAGCAAAGAGAAAAGTGAAAACGATTTAGCTTGTACATTAAGACTTGAACTTCAAAAACATTTACATTTCAAAAGATATATTTGGAAAAAAAAGGTTTATTTTTTACCTAATTCTTATAAGAAAAACCAATCTTTTAAGATAATCTGATATTACTACAAGAATCGAGATGATACATATAGGTTATTTTAAATTCTGATGGATATATGCGGATCTTACTGAATGTGATCTGCTGTCTATGGAAGAATCAGAAAGATTTAGGGCACATATATCAATGTATACAGGGTCGGAAAGAATATTATTCAAGGGGGCTAACGATATAATCCCGAATAGGAGGTATGATAAATTTTATACCAAATGAAAGCCCATGAAAATGGGGTTTATTGATGTTAAATAGTAAGGGTTATGCAAACCTTTTAATATCGAACTTAAGAAACTTTCAGAAATTTTAGACATTTTTGGGAGTAGAAAAGGAAAGTGCTAGTAATTCAAAAATGGAGTAAAATGTTTTTCTTGGATATTTTTACATAGTTCGATAGAGCTCGTCGAGCTCTACAA